AGAAAGAAATGTTTCAGACAAAAGTTGTATGGCTTGAAGGGGGCCATCAGATAGTGGCAATGATTTGACATGGGAGAGTCATTTGAAAGTCACGTGAAGATCACCTTCAATTTCTTAAATGAAACTCCCTATTGTTTATTAAATATTCGTGTAGCTTATCTTGAGAGCTTTCCAAAACACTATAATAAAGTATTTCTTTATTGAGCACTTTTCGAGTTATGAGGCTTGAAATCATTTCTTAATTTTGCATAAACCATAAAATATCTAGTAAAATATTCATTTTTCGATTATCTTACCTTAATACTTTTATGTACAAAATAATGAGAGGAATCAATTGATGTAAAGAAAAAACAGTTGTTTTTAAGAAAAAATATGTAATTGTTAATTGCAAATTACATATTTTTTTCTTAAAAACAACTATGTTTTTTCTCTAGACCAATTGATTCCTCTCATTATTTTGTACATAAAAGTATTAAGGTAAGATAATCGAAAAATGAATATTTTACTAGATATTTTATGGTTTATGCAAAATTAAGAAATGATTTCAAGCCTCATAACTCGAAAAGTACTCAATGAAGAAATACTTTATTACAGTGTTTTGGAAAGCTGTCGAGATAAGCTACACGAATGTGTAATAAAAAATAGGGAGTTTTATTTAAGAAATTGATGGTGATCTTCACGTGACTTTCAAATGACTCTCCCATGTCAAATCATTGCCACTATCTGATGGCTCCCTTCAAGTCATACAACTTTTGTCTGAAACATTTCTTTCTAAAGTGCATAGTTTATGAAATATTCGACCGGTCCGGGACTTTTGGGACACTCTGTATATAATAATATAATATAATTTAATTCTATTTACGAAATCGCATTTTGCTGCCGCGATTCGAAGAAATTTCCTAGACACTTGTAAATTCGTGCATCGCGATGTAATCGATTTCGATCGAAAATACAGCGAAATGCCGGCGATTTAATTAACCACGGATCTACCTGAGCACGATCACGTGCTACGAATTTGATTCGCGATGGGGTTAAAACGCGCGCGAGCGGGCCGTTATTATGATAAACGCAACAATAACGAGGGATGATCCGACGTGTAAACTGTTAAACCCTCCTTCCTTTCCTCCATCGAGGGTTGCGGATGAGGATTATCATGGGGGTCGGACGGTACCGGGTCGTCTGGAATCTACGGGGGATGTTATTGTTGCCGCGAAAGAATGGGAGGGAGAGGCAGGGTGGAAGAAAAAGGGAAATGCATACACAACACACGTACACGTACGCACCTTCTGCCATAGACACGATAGTCTATAATATATGGCATTCAAACGTGCGCGAGACGTCATCCCCTTCGATGATGTCGACGGTGTTTGCCGCTTCCCATTACGAGCTCGATTGACCCAAACTATACGATTATCGTGCGTCAGTGATAGCCTTTATGCGCTGAAAATCTCGGGGGTTAAAGAGTTACGCCACTTTGTGCGTAATTCTTGGATGCTGGTGGTCCATCCTTGAACTGATTCAGTGAAAGCGTCATGATTAAACTTCAACAGAGATCAGAAAGTATTTTACTGATCTACAGATGTATGTACAGAATTATATGAATATTAAAAGTCAGTAATAATCATATACAGGGTGTCCCATCCATACATTCTTTTTAAAATAAAAATAAATAGCTTTTATCAAAAATTGCGAACAATTTTTAAGTAAATCGAGTACGCTCTATTAAATGGTGAATATTTTCAACTTTCGATTCCGACCGGAAATACGTCATCCGGAAATTGAATTTTTCTAGAGGAACATGATACTTTTTATTACAGATTCGAATTGTACGTGAAAAAATAAGAAATCTTTGTATCAAACGTTTTTTCTAAAAGTGCCTCTGTCAATCTTAAAATTGACCTTGAAAGTAACTGTGATGAAATAATGAACTTCAATTTTAAGATTGACAGAGGCACTTTCAGAAAAAAACGTTTGATACAAAAGTTTCTTATTTTTTCACGTACAATTCGAATCTATAATAAAAAGTACCATATTCCCCTAAAAAAAATTCAACTTCCGATCCGGATGGCGTATTTCCGGTCGGAATCAAAAGTTGAAAATATTACCATTTGATAGAGCGTACTTGATTTACTTAAAAATTGTTCGCGATTTTTGATAAAAGCTATTTATTTTCATTTTCAAAAAGGTGTACGGGTTGTCTGGGACACCCTGTATATTAATGTTATATGCATATTATTATATAACTATTCAAACTTTATACATTAAACTCTTTTATTTTTAAGATGGGATAAACTTAGAAAAAATGAACAAGATTCTTATAATCAGATATTAAAAAAAAGAATCTATATATAAAATATTCTTGTTGTTTGTCGCCACTTTCTGATTTCGATGTTATATTAATTATCTACCTTTATAATTAAGAGTCTAAAATTAAAATTCTATCGAGGTAAGACCTACTCGAGATCGATTGTACGGAATGTGTACGCATCGCGTGCGCAATCAATTCAATTAAAATTGATTTCCATCCGCGGGTGACACATCAAATAAACCGCCCCCTCACCCCCTTCCAGCCTCCTTCTCTTATTCCGCATTCCCCTTGCGAGCTCTCATAAAGCATCGAATCGCAATTCGAAAGCGAGATTATAAATATTCAAACGGGAGAGACTACGGTTTTGTCCTTTTGTCAGCGCGATCATTATATCGCTTCTCCAATTTTTCTGTCGACTTGCGAGAGGATTTGACTGGTTCGAGAGGCGAGCGACGTTAAGATAGGGCACAATATTGCGCGCATAACGTTATACAATGAAATTTATCCGACGCGGAACAAAAATAATATTCCCCTTTTTACGTACAAATATAATGTAAGTACTTTATACAGAATAATCCGATAGTAACACGCGTGATATAGGAAGCTTACGCTATAATTGTATGCGTAAAAATAAGTTGAAGATGTAGAGAAATATTTGCACGATTTTTGCTTCTCAAAAATCCTGGAATATCTAAGCGATCAAATAATTAAAATGAATTATTTATTTTATTTATACATTAAATCCTTTATTTTGTAAATAAATAAATAAATTTATTTATAAATAACATTTGTATATAATTATTTATATATAATACATTTATTTATATAAATATAATAAATATATTTATTTATAAAATAAAGGATTTATTTTAATTATTTAAAATCTCTTATTAAAGATTTTCAAGATTTTCGAAAAAAGATTAGATAAAAATTTCATGTAAAAATATACAATATATATACAAAGATAAAAATTTCATGTAAAAATATACATACAATAGAGGAGAGTCTCACACACACGATATCAACTAAATTAAATCAAAAATAGAAATACAAAAATAAAAAATAAAAATGTTTTCGAATTTTTTTTTAAACAACAGTCGCGATTGAAATGCAAGTTGTTCCATCCCAAAAATAGCTAAACCGAAAATGGAAGACATTAATGACGCCGAGTGTATCTACCTACCTACCTATCCATCTATATGTATACCTTGTTCGCAAAGTGTGCTTTCGAAAATCCGTTATTAACGACGGGCTATTATGACATTTCACGGTGCACGTGAGGTAGACGCTTATCCAGTGACGTATTACCGAGGTCCTGACGCACTGCATATTATTCCAGGAACTCTGGAGACACGCGCCGGCACGTTCCTATTCATCTGGAGGCGGCCTATATTATTGCCTGTCTCCCTTTCCTGTCTCGTCCATGTTAATTATTCGCAATAACCGAATAATAATATGCTGCAATATTATTTAATTAAGGGATTGAGCCGCGCGAGTAAATAATAAATTCTCGAATCGTTATTGTTGTACTTTATTCCTGTACACGCAAATATTTTGCGAAACCGGAATAAGCTACAGCATCAATATTGTTGAAGGAAAAATGTGTGATATAATGTACAAATATTTAAGAGAAAAAATATATTTCTTTAAGTATATTTATATATAATATATATATATATATATATATATATATATATATATATATATAAATGTTTTAAGAAAATAAAATCTCTGAATATTTTACAAATCATTTATTAGGCTATTTCAAAATGTTTGTAATTGATTAATTAATAAGTATTAATTATTTAATAATTATTAAGAGTTAATATGTTAATTACTTTATAAATATTTAATTAACATATTAAATTCTTTATTTATTTTTACAACTGCTGATGATTTATATTATAGGATAATTCAGCATTATTCATAAACTTAACGATAGTTATCGTTTTTCAAGATTGATTTTTCTTGAAATGAAATCTCGAAAAAATTTCATCTTACACATTTTCGACTTATATATTTTCAATATTATTATAATTATCCTTTTTAACTATATCATCAATATCATATCATTATGTCAGGATTTTTTAAAATACAAACGCATACGTATACATAATATATACAGGGTGGCCTCGAACGTTCCAGCCAGACTTTGAGATCTTATAGGAAATTTAATTCTGAACAAAAAATTTCTTATAAACATGGGTCGAAAAATGCTTCCTTAAGAAGTTCGCTCAAAAACCTCTGATGAAGAAAGAGCAAAAGGTGAAAAGAAAATCAAATAAAAAGAAAATGAAACTAAATAAATTTCTTGAAAAAAAACGATAACAATAAAAAATAAAAATCTTTTTCTTTTATCAAAATAAAATAATTTTTTTTTTAACTAACTTTTATTTTATTTTCATAAAAGAAAAAGATTTTTGTTTTTTATTTTTATCGTTTTTTTTTTCAAGAAATTTATTTAATTTCATTTTCTTTTTATTTCATTTTCTTTTCACCTTTTGCTCTTCCTTGATCAGAGATTTTTGAGCGATAACTTCTTAAGGAAGCATTTTTCGACCCATGTTTATAGGAAATTTTTTGTTCAGAATTAAATTTCCTATAAGATCTCAAAGTCTGGTTGGAACGTTCGGGGCCACCCTGTAGAGTTACTTCCTGTATTCAATGTGCCACGATCAACGTTTGTTTCCAGGCTATCGAAGCGGTGACTACCAATCGAGATACGGTTACAATAGCGCCAGTTCGAGTCAGAATGGACCGAATCGTGGACCATGGGCAAGCGGTTTTGGTCCACCTCCACCTTTTGAGTATCAGCATCGTAATCATTATAACAATCATCATCATCAGCAATCTTCGTGGAATAATTATCAGAGCACGCAACAAGGATATCAGAGCCAAGGGGTATGTATGTCTCTTATTTTTATCGCGCCCCGATATGCAATGGAATCGAGAAAAGCTAGATTCGATCCGCGATTTTCGACATTTTTATTTCATATTTTTTAGTTATATGTAACTTTAATATCAAAGGAGATTCAAAAATAAAATTTATTTCTTCGAAAATTTTAACTTTAAATGGATCGTGAAACAACAAGAGAAATAATAGCGTATTATCAAAATAGTACATCTTGATGAAAGAAGAGAACTTTAATCGAGACATTGCTTGGTCATCTCATGTTATAGAATTACTCTTCAACTCGAGGAAGCGATGGAGGAGGTCACCGAGACAGATGGCGACGATAGATGTAGACATCAATATGAAAAGATGAAGACTACCTTTATCGTACATCGTGTAAGCATCATAGTTAAGATTGAATTTTCGCGAAGAATTTTTCGCTACGCATAATAATAATCATAATAATTAGGGTTTATTAGGGATTATTGTAAGGACTATTATTAAGATCATTGTCAAAGTACGCGTTCTAAATGAGATCATTACAGAGCAAACGGTGAAACACATTCGAGTTTTAAAAAAATATTCGCACTACAAGTGCAAGTGTTCATATTCAACATTTTTTTTTCTCAACATCATGATATTATCGAGCGGATAATATAATATTTTGTCTTTTCTTTTATTTTGGATTCTCTCTGAGAAGTTTATAACAAGATATTTGTGTAAAATAGGATACCTTTTAGGAGTTACGCATTTTTATAAATTTTTACAAATTGATTTTTGCCCCTTTAACGCAAAATTGTATTCCGTTTCATTCTTATCCTGGAATTCACGAAAAGAAAACGCATAATCGATGAACCATATATGCACATATTATGTATAATAAGAACAATTCCGTGTTGAAATTTTTCTCCTATTTTCAATCTCAATTTTATTCTTCTTTATAGATTCTAAAGGATTTTTTGATAGATTTAATTTATTTAAGAATCGAGATCCCTTTGTTTTCGCGCTTTGTATCTCTGACAAGGAAATCTCACAAATCGAAATTCTGATTTTGATGAAATTTTGCACACATGTGGGGGGGCGGGCGTAATAAACGAATTTAGAAATTTTTAATTGCTACCCAAAAATGATTGAAAATTATTCGACATATCAAAAAATTTATATAGAAGTTTCATGATTAAAACATCTCTATTTAATTTAATAAAATTCTATTAAATTTAATAAAATTAAAATTAAAATTTTATTAAATTTAATATATTAATAAAATTTTGGGAAAATAATTTTTTTCACAGATTTTTCAAAAATTATTATTTTTTTTTAAATTTTATTAATATAGTTATTTGAAATAATTTTCGAAAAAGAGTAAAAAAATCACTCTACACATGAAAGGTAGTTTCCCTTAGAATCATTTTCGGACAGCAACTGAAAGTTTCTAAATTCATCTATTCATCCCCCCTCCATATATCTATATAAATTTTCATCAAAATCAAAATTTTCGCATTTCCCGAAATTTCTTTATAAATATAAGCAGCGACAGTTTCCCATTTAAAGAAATTTTCGATGAAACTATAGATTAAAAATAATTTCAAAAGAAGGTGATCCGATTATGCTTAAAGTGTTAGAATAGATGTTAGATTCAACATTAAATTGAAAAGTAGGCGAAAAATTTCGACTCGGGATGCGTGTCTCACGAATGCGGATGTTTGCACTAATTCGAATTGATATGTAAAAGAGACAGCAAGCAATCGACTAACGTATATTTCAAGAGAATTTTAAGAGAACGTTATATTTTGCTCACTCGTTCCACTTCTTTGCGCGCTTTTATTGTCGTTTGTATTAAATCATGTATGTGTAGCGTAACAATTAAATTCTGCATTCACATTGAATGTAACGATGTAATGTCGCTTCGTTTATGTGTTTATAAAAATAGTATAAGCACAGAAGCACATATTTCGTTCGAAATGAGCAGACTTCGTCTTTTATTGAATCAAGTGTAATTTTTATGATGATCAATCGTGTTTATAGTTGTAACGAAATTGTCACATGTTTATGTCCAACGATTAGAACGAGTACATTGACGAGAATATCGTGAATTGAATATTAATTATAGAATCGATACATTAAAAATGTATTGAATCAAGTGTACAAGCACCGGGCTTTGCAAGTGCAAAGAAATCGTGCGTGTTAAATATAAGGTATAATAATTGATGTGACCGAGTAACATTCTGAATTTCTCACTCTGTATTGAAATACACGATATTTCCTTAATGAAGGCTATCTGATAATCACTAGATTCCCATATTTTCTCGTTATTTTTCATCTAATGTTACGCAAGCGCTATTGGAATTTTGTAGACGTTGCTCTAATCAATGATAAAATTTATAAAACAAACAAAAAATTATATACATGTAAACTAGAATAATTAAAGATTTGAAATCTTTTATGTTTCCTAAAGATTTTTAAGATTATTTCAAGCTGGCTCGAAAGGGCAATATTTTTTTAATAATACAAAATAATACAAATAATACAAAATTTTTAATAATACAAAATAAACATTGTTACACATATAAATATAATTTATAATGTATAAATTATGTAGAATCTTTAGAGTGTAAAAGTAACAAAAGACTCTAGACATAACGTTCAGGGTGTTAAAAAAGTCTGGAATACCTCGAATATCTCGATAAGGAAGAGTTTTACTAGAAAGTGTTTCAGACAAAAGTTATATGGCTTTGAGGGGGACATAACATGGTACCATTGGTTTGAACCTTGAAGAGTTATTTGAAGGTTACATGAAGGTTACCTTCAATTTTTTAAATGGAACCTACTCTTTCTCATTACATATTCTTGTAGCTTATCTCGAGAGCTTTCCAAAACACTATAATAAAGTATTTTTTCATTGAATATTTTTCGAGTTATGAGTAGCTTAAAGTAATATCTTAATTTTATATAAACCATAAAATATCTAGTAAAATATTCATTTTTTAATTATTTTGCCTTAATACTTTTATGTACAAAATAATGAGAGGAATCAATTGGTGTAAAGAAAACACATAGTTGTTTTAAAAAAAATATGTAATTGTTAATTGCAAATTACATATTTTTTTCTTAAAAACAACTATGTTGTTTCTTTAGACCAATTGATTCCTCTCATTATTTTGTACATAAAAGTATTAAGGTAAGATAATCGAAAAATGAATATCTTGCTAGATATTTTATGGTTTATGTAAAATTAAGAAATTATTTCAAGCCTTATAACTCGAAAAGTACTCAATGAAAAAATACTTCATTGCAGTGTTTTGAAAAGATCTCGAGATAAGCTATGAGAATATGCAAAAGTACATAGGGTGTCCCATTTAAAAAGTTGGAGATGACTCTCACGTGACCTTCAGGTGACTCTTCAAAGTCAAACCAATGGTACCATTTTATGTCCCCCTCGAAGCCGTACAACTTTTGTCTGAAACACTTTCTAGTAAAACTCTTCCTTATCGAGATATTCGACCGTGTCCAGACTTTTTTAACACTCAGTATATTTTTAATATTAATATTTTTAATATTATTTTTTTCTCTAAAGAAAAAATATACATTTGTCGTGAAATATTTTTCACGCAAATTAAAGAGTGCTCTCGCTCTGTTTTGTTAAATCTCCCTTTTGTTTATCCTTAACGCGACATCTTTCCGCATTCATTCGCGCTGTACGATTACATAATGGATCATTGAGTGTCACGAATGAGAGAATAGAGAAGCTGCTCTCCGCGAAGCACATACGACGCGCTTTATCGCGCGGTTTCGTTATTGTCCCTCTGATGAAATAAAGCTCTATCTGCACCGAGAGATCTACCCCTGCTGCTCTCGTAGGTTGCGGTCGCTTATCAGACACACATACCGCACTCTCGATTTCTCCCCATTGTCCAGCGGGACACAATGCCGTCCTTTTACGTCCTCGTCGAATATAAGTAAGTCATTGCCCGTGCTTATTCGCACGATGGCTATGTGAATCTGATTCAACGGACGGTTGAAATCTAATGTCAATGGCGATAGGCATTAAGAGAGAGAGGGAGAAAAAAAGGAGGGATGTCAAGAATATTACGCTGAATCGAAAATATCATAAAAGTTCACATCGATAAATCAATTTCATTGATTTTGAGTTTAAAACACCGATTATGTTTTATTTTTAAAGCGTGATAAATCTCTCAAAAATGAACAAGACTCATTGTCAAATATCTAATAAAATGCACTGTTATAAATTTATATCTATTAATATACAGGGTGTCCCAAAAGTGCCGGACCGGTCGAATATTTCATAAACTGTGCACTTTAGAAAGAAATGTTTCAGACAAAAGTTGTGTGGTTTGAAGGCGGCCATCAGACAGTGGCAATGATTTGACATGGGAGAATCATTTGAAAGTCACGTGAAGATCACCGTCAATTTCTTAAATGGGACACCCTATGCTTTTGCATATTTTTTTAGTTCATCTCGAGAGCTTTCCAAAACACTATAATTAAGTTAGTTTTCATTAAGTACTTTGCGAGTTACGAGGCTTGAAAGAATATCTTAATTTTACATAAACCGTAAAATATCTAATAAAATATTTATTTTTCGATTATCCTACCTTAATACTTTTATGTACAAAATAATGAGAGGAATCAATTGGTGTAAAGAAAACACATAGTTGTTTTCCTCTAATTATTTTGTACATAAAAGTATTAAGGTAAGATAATCGAAAAATGAATATTTTACAAGATATTTTACGGTTTATGTAAAATTAAGAAATTATTTCAAGCCTCATAATTCGGAAAGTACTTAATGAAAACTAAATTATAGTGTTTTGGAAAGCTCTCGACGTGAGTTACCAGAATATTTAATAAAAAATAGGGAGTTCCATTTAAGAAATTGACGGTGATCTTCACGTGACTTTCAAATGACTCTCCCATGTCAAATCATTGCTACTATGATGGCCCCCTTCAAGCCATACAACTTTTGTCTGAAACATTTCTTTCTAAAGTGCATAGTTTATGAAATATTCGACCGGTCCGGGACTTTTGGGACACCCTGTATAACAATATTGTAAAATGTATTTATATAAAATTCCTAATTTTTTCAATGAAATTTTATAGATTTGCAAAACTATACTCTTATATAATTGAAACTGTCAATGATTATACAATGATTATTTTCAAATACATTGATTCTGTTTATGAAAATAGAGGAAAATCTTTTGGGAAACGATCTTTGCAGAAAAATTTTTAAATAAAATTTAAGTTTAATTAAAATTCCAGATTAATCAAAATTAAATTTAAGTTTAGTTTTATTTTATTTTTTATTAACCTAAAATTAGAACGTAAAAATTCGTACGTCTCACGCGAATTTCGACTGCACCGCGCAACGGAAAGAAAGGAGAAAGAAAGAGACAAGCGATATGTAAGAAGGAGAAAAGTTGGGTGTACGAAGGTGTGGGGTTCTGTTGGCTGATTGAATCGCGGAGTAGAAGGCAGTGAGGACCCTCGTGAAGCAAGCACATGGAAGGAAAGGTCCAGGTGCGCCCTCACCTCGCACGATCGCATACGGATCGCAGCAACATCGAAGCAACTCTCTACCTCTTGCCTCTCTCTCTCTCTCTTTCTTCCTTCCCTTATTTTTCTCTCCCTCCGTTTCTCTCGTTTCGTACTCACGTGGAATACGCGTCTACCTACCTACGGCTTTGCCGGCTGACGTAAAAACGCGCGTGTACACTCTTGTGCTAAAGCTCGAAAATAATAGAGAGACTGGAGGACCGCGTCGTGCGCGAAATGGATGACGGATGTAAATGCCAAGTAGCCAAGTGTACGCTCTGCCTCTCTTCCTTCCACTTTCCTCTACCCTCCATCCCTACTGTCGACGAGTACGTCGTTTAATAAGCAGGCATCCATGCTCTGAAAATCGTTTTTAAGATCGCGAGACCACGCAGAAAGATCAAGCAGCTGCCGATAATTTTTTTTTCTTTAGTGCCATCGAGAGATCTCTTATTTAGCTTCCTTCGGAATTCGACTACGCTCTATTTCCTAAAGTCACAATGTGCATCGATAATTAATTAAGATTTCACATGTGAAGAATAACTGAAAATAGTCAGCAGTTGAAG